GAGAGAGAGAGAGAGAGAGAGAGAGAGAGAGAGAGTGAGTGTGTGTTTTTAATCACATAGGATCCTATTGGCATCCATAACTTCACTGAAACTATAAATCGATAATGACTTAATGACTATTCATGCCTTTTTGTATGCCAGCGCTGACTGATGGCTGCAAAGCAACATATGCAAAACAGACTTTGAAAAACATGCAAGGTGCAATTTAAAATTACAGCCACCGAGAGCTGTCTAGCTTGAGTTTTTTATTTTTTTCTATTTTCATAAGAGTAGAAATAGAGCATATTGTGAATACATGTTTGAGTGTATTTCTCAGAAAGCACACAGGATCTTCATCAGCTGTGTTTGACGCTATCTGATGTGTTAATGCTGTATCAAAAGGCCTTCTTCACACTATTGCTCAACAGTAATACTGCGCTCTGGCAGACTTACAGGATGCAGCTCTCCTATGACCATAGAGCTGGCCATCTCACGTGCATCTGTCGAGTGGCCGACGTCTTCAAAGCTCTCTGTGGCATCTCCACCCGCCTGCTCTCGCAGCACCTCCTCTCCACCCGGGTGCTGTGGACACCAGCAAACACATCAGATCATCCAGTTTAAAGCGTATTGCTTACTTATAAATACCCTTTTGACCTTTGAAAAATACTGCCTAGGAAATTATCAGTTGATTTAAGCGCACCGAGTCATGCAACTTAAAATACCTTGTGTGCATTTTTAGATCTAGCAAGAGTAATGTTACTAGATTAAGTAGTTTTCTAGATTTCGATAATATGGAAAGAGGTGATAAGTTAGGTTAGGGTGGTTATATAATTATTACAGCAAGGTAGTGTGTGATGCAACTATTGCTTCCCTTCACATAAACCTCATCAATAGTAATCAAAAATAACTGTGCATTTAATTATATTAGGTTTTATTAAATACATTTCTACACGGTTAATGCACTAATGCTAATTCCACACTTAACTGTTGTAATCTTTTCGGTCCAACTTTGAGGGCACGTGGCAAAGGTCACTCCATTCAATTCTTACTTTTCAAACTTTTGTACTAGGCGTTTTTAAATGTATTCGCTTATAAACTCTATGCATTGTGTATATTTCACTCCATGCATTATGCATTACACAATTCTAGTTTGCTTGGTTACACAATGCAGTACATACACTTAATGCATGCATTACACAATTCCAAAGCGACAATACCTTAATGCGAATATTTTTGGCACCAAACTGAACATTTGAGAATTGTTTTCAAACTCACCTCCTCGAGAAACTTTGTGACGTCGTACACTTTATTATGAATGATAATCCATGTGCTTTTAAAAGAGTTCCGTTCCTCCACCTCTGACAATCGATAATATTTAACACCCGTTCCGTCTGTTTCGTTGGTTTCCATTTGTTTGTTTAAATGCGTGTTATTTGTGAGGAAGGTTACAGAAACTCTCCAAAAGTTCCCTCACGTACTTCAATACTGGACCGACCAGCAACAATTGTATTTCCTAACTCGCCAGGCAACGCCCATTCCGCTCAGGACGAAATCTGATTGGACGACATCACGCTTGGGTTGCCTAGCGTGTCTGTTTTGATTGGACCGAGGGCTGTCAATCAGCACACTGGGTTATATGTTACTCGGCAGAAGTTCACGAAAGTTCACGAGAGCGCACAGTCACGGAAGCGTTGCGGTTTATCGCCATCTCGTTAATCTAGTGATGTTCGTTAGGAAGTGTGTTGCCCTTAAAGTCATTTTAGCCGCCGTTGTTGATCTTGTTTAGGTGTTTCTGTCACACAAGAGCAGTGTTGGGGATAATGCTTTACAAGTAACGCGAGTTACGTAATCAGATTACTTTTTTTCAAGTAACTAGTAAAGTAACGCATTACTTTTTAATTTACAAGAAAATATCTGAGCTACTTTTTCAAATAAGTAACGCAAGTTACTTTTTTCCCCATTTATTGATTGAAAGCTCTCTTGTCCCCATGTTGAGAGAAATCGGGAGTAAGATGCTACTTTAGTTCTAGAATAAATGTGAACGTGCATTAATTCATCTCACTCACTCACAAAAAAATAAAAATCTGATTTAGTTTTCCTCACAATTAATCAAAACAGTTCAAAGCAACTCAGAATAGGACTCAAAGATGCAATAATTAAATATGTTAAATAATACAAATATCATTTTTGTATTTATATCTGAGCTACTTTTTCAAATAAGTAACGTTTATTGATTGGCTTTTTCAAATAAGTGATGATATTTTGTTTCCCATTTATTGATTGAAAGCTCTACTGTCCCCATGTTGAGAGAAATCGGGAGTAAGATGCTACTTTAGTTCTAGAATAAATGTGAACGTGCATTAATTCATCTCACTCACTCACAAAAAAATAAAAATCTGATTTAGTTTTCCTCACAATTAATCAAAACAGTTCAAAGCAACTCAGAATAGGACTCAAAGATGCAATAATTAAATATGTTAAATAATACAAATATCATTTTTGTATTTAATCCCATTTTATTAAAGGGGTCATATGATGCTTTTGCTTTCTCTTTGGAGTGTTACAAGCTGTGCATAGATAAGATCCCTGAAGCTGCAAAGACTAAAGTCTCAAAACCAAAGAGATATTCTTTATCAAAGTTAAGACTCTGCCACGCCCCCCTAAAACGGCTCGTTCTAACACGCCCCCACATATCTACATCACTATGTGGAAATATTAGCATAATGCGCCCAAATGTGCACGCAAAGAAAGAAGGCGTGGTTTCAGTAACCGCAGTTAGTGTTGAAGCAGCATGTCAGGGAGACGCTGTGTGTTTCTAGGCGAAAGCAAAAGCACTTTATTTGGCTTTCCGGAAGTAGATGCATTTAGGAATCTTTAAGATTACTTACAACAGAACAGCAATGCATTTTATGGACGACCGTTTCGTGAACCTAGGAGAGGAGGTAATTCTGACTTTGCTATGACAATCTGGCGCTTCTGAATCAGCTACTGTTTTGTTATTAGTTTAAGTATTTGCTATTGACTGTTCAAATGCACAGTTTTGCGCATCGTGTGTGTGTGTGTGCGAGCGAGGGAGAGAGAGAGAGAGAGAGAGAGAGAGACAGCGTCACATCACAGTGGAGTCAGCTGTCTTAACCGTGGCCTGTGTACTGCACACATACCAGCTTCATCACTGTGTCTGTCACAGGACTCTGTTCCCCTTTTGGGCTTTACATTTATTTTGAAAGATGAAGCACGCGATTATGGTAAGGGGCGTTACATTTCCGACGAGTGCTTGCGGTGTTCGGCCAATCACAATGCACTGGGTCAGCTGGCCAATCAGAGCAGACTGCGCTTGTCGGAAGGAGGGACTTTGTAGAAAACGAAGCGTTTGAGAGAGGCGGGGCATAGAGGACCTACAATAATGTACAGTATTTGAACATTAAAGCATGTCAACATATTCTGTTACACCAAATACACAAAATAATGATCTTTAAAAAAGCATCATATGACCCCTTTAACCAATTTGCTGCTGACCTTCAGTGATCCAATTCAACCATACTAATAAGCAAAAATTACACACGATAAACTAACATTTCTTCTTCTTTTTTTATTGCTGAAGAGTGGAACTTTCTTCTTCTGCGTTCTGCTGTACAGACGTGAATTTACATTTCCTTCAGCCTGAGGCTTTTGCTGAGAAAGGGCTTTCACATTTGCCAAAAATAGAACTTTTTTATGTTAAAAGCAAACAAGCAAGCCCAGCCCAGATTTAAAAAGTAACGTAAAAGTATTGTAACGCATTACTTTTGATAAAAAGTAACTAAGTAACGTAATTAGTTACTTTTTTAGGAAGTAATGCAATATTGTAATGCATTACTTTTAAAAGTAACTTTCCCCAACACTGGATAAGAGTATGTTCACTTGAAACATTGTCACGCGAGTCTCCTCGTTCTTGCCCCCAAAAGCTCGCGCTCTAGTACCTCAGCACTTATTATTGTTGTATAACCTCAAACTGGGGTAAAACTAACCCTTTCTTTCTTTCTGTCAACACAATGTACGTAATACGCTACACTTTTTCAGAGTTATAACAGAGTTTTGTCTTATCTGAGGTAATTACTGACAGAATATGCGCACAATTTCATATAGACTTTGGACCAAAATAGTCTCTGATTAACCAATAATAGCTTATTTTGGTCACAGATCAGTGACTGTGTTGGTTCGACCAAATTAACCCTCATCATTTTATTTTCAGAATGAGTGGGACACAGTCTTTGCTTTTCCTCAATCTTCCGGAGCTGAGGAACTTATGTTGTGCAAATCTATTCTTCTTGAACAGTTATACGATGAACCAGAACAAACAAGTGAAAACCTGCAGGTGAAAAGACAAATATAATGTGTGCTGGTTATAAAACTGTAGTTTTGGTTTTTCACATATTGATTAGATTCGTGATTGATCTAGACATTTCATCTAATAGGCTTTGAGATGAAAGGCACATAAAGTGCGATTAGACCCTTGTTGTCCTTGTTGTTAGACCCTTATATGTTGAAGCTTGACTTTATGTAGCTACCCTTTGACCCATACTCGATTTTTAACTGCTTGAAACACTGGTTAAACTGTTTATTTCTTTTGGAGATTTTATGGCTTTTTCTTATACTTTTATGAATATGCATGTTTAGACACACAAATGTGATTTGGAAAGGCTGTACAAAAACATGCTTGGTTCTCATGCAATTCACCAAAAAGCACTTAAAAGAAAAAAAGAGAGAGAGAAAAGAAAAGAAAGAACCAGACATAAAAAAGCAAAGGCCTTATATCTTAAGTGCAAATAGGGATAAATACTATACTAATAGAGATACATTTCTATTTGCAAAAAAAAAAAAGGTACTATTTAAGTACAAGTACACTGTGTTTTACGTAGTTGTAGTTTTGTGCACCTCAGTGTGCAAATAGTCACTACAAGTAGGCATAATAAAAAATCAAGGGCATTTTTAACAAATATATTGGGGTCAAATTCCCCTATCACAAAGGAAATATTTTTTAACATAATAGGAATTCATAATTTATTACTTTTATATTTTATAACTCTTACATACAAGCTGCAATAGGTTTTATGTATTTTTCATAAATACATATGACTCTTTAGTGTTTTTCATATTGTTGATTTTTTTTTTTAGGCGAATGGAAACTAATGGGGTCAGTTTTACCCCCAACACAAAAAAAGGTACTCAGATTTTTTTAACACAACAGCAGGGTTAATTATATAAAACATTACACTACTGCTTCAGCCTGTGAGACCAGCTGAACAGACCATGTGGCTGTTCTCTAAAAAAAATCTAGAATATTTAATTATCTTGACCTCTGAAGTGTGAAAGGCTTTTCCGTCTGTCTTTCAGGGAGCTTGTTCTCTTGCATTTAGACATTGTTGCTTCTCCTGTGTTGGGCCATTTTGGGGGGCATCACTGTTATTATGACTGTAAGTATGATATATTTTGTGATATTTGCCAGCTTTAAATTGAAAAAAAAAATTTTTTTTAATATAATTAATAATTGTCCTGTGACGTTAGATAGGAAAACCAGCCTGCTTTATATCTCACAATTCATGCTCAAAAGTGCAAGATAAAAAAGTAAATGTGACATAAAACAATGATATATTTTGTGATATTTGCCAGCTTTAAATTGAAAAAAAAATTTTTTTTTAATATAATTAATAATTGTCCTGTGACGTTAGATAGGAAAACCAGCCTGCTTTATATCTCACAATTCATGCTCAAAAGTGCAAGATAAAAAAGTAAATGTGACATAAAACATTTTTTTTAATTCAATGGCTGAAAGAGATGATAAACTTAAAATTCAGAGAAAAAGTCAGAATTGCTGGAAAAAAGACTGAATTGCACGATAAAAAGTCAGAAGTAAATTGTTATCCCATGGCAGAAACAAGCTTCCATAGATTCACAAAGCACGCAGAAATAAGGCTGAAGAAATATTTATTTTCATTACACCTAGCAGCCATAATTCTTTGTGTCTCTCAGTTGTATTCCTACGTACAGACAGGTCCTAAAAGGCAAGTGCTCTTGCTCATAAAATTGTTTTCAATAAAATGTAGCATAATTATATTTAATGATGATTTGAATTAGCTCCAAAATCGATTACCTAAAAAAAAGTCCATGTCACGCAAAACATTTATGATTTATATTGCTTTTCCTGTGAAAACATGTTATTGTTCTTCTTTTTCCCTCAGTGTTCGTGATATGTGCATCACCTTGCGTGCATGTGCACCTGTCAGAGAAGTTTGTGCTGTTGCATATGCGTGACTTTTCATCTGAGGGTGCATGTGTGTCTGCGTGTCAGCACAGCTCGTGCAAAGGCATGTCAAAAGCAAATGCAAAATATTTGAGGCACATTCCACACACTCTGTCATCTCCTTTCCTTCACAACAAATGTTGTGAATGTGCTGTCAGACTTCAGTGGGTGCACTGGTGAATAATTGACTATGTTGTGCTTATGTAACTTTCATGGCTTTTGTACGTGTGTAGCCAAAAGGAGAAAGGCGAC